TCTGAGGTGGGACCCGAAACGGCCCCAATTCAGCCCAAAATAACCCCGAATTCAACCCCAAAAATCCCAAAATTCAGCCCAAAATAACCTCAAATTCAACCCCAAAAATCCCAAAATTCAGCCCAAAAAAATTCCAAAATTCAACCCCAAAAAATCCCAAATTCAGGCAAAAAAATCCCAAAATTCAGCCCCAAAAATCCCAAATTCAGGCCAAAAAAATCCCAAAATTCCACCCCAAAAACATCTGAATTCAACCCAAAAAAATCCCAAAATTCAGCCCCAAAACCACCTGAATTCAACCCAAAAAAATCCCTGAATTCAGCCCAAAAAATCCCAAAATTCAACCCCAAAAAATCCGAAATTCAGGCAAAAAAATCCCAAAATTCAGCCCAAAAAAATCCAAATTCAACCCCAAAAAAATCCCAAAATTCAACCCCAAAAAATCCCAAATTCAGCCCAAAAATCCCCAATTCATCCCAAAAGTCCCAAATTCAACCCAAAATAACGAAATTCAGCCCAAAATTCCTCAATTCTGCCCAAATTTCCCCCCAAAATTCCCATTTTTCCCCAGCATTCCCAGTTTTCCACCCGAATTCCCAAATTGCCACCTCAAATCCCCAAAATTCCTGTTTTTTTCCCAAATTTCCCCATTTTCTCCCCAATTTTCCCAATTCCTACCCCAAATTCTCAAATTAGCCCCCAAAATTACTGTTTTTTCCCAAATTCCCTTTTTTCCCCAAATTCCCGTTTTTCCCCAATTCCCTTTTTTATCCCCAAATTCCCATTTTTCCCCAAATTCCCGTTTTTTCCCCAAATTCCTGATTTCCCCAATTCCCGTTTTTTTCCCACAAATTCCCATTTTTTCCCCAAATTCCTTTTTTTCCCCAAATTCCCATTCTTCCCCAAATTCCCGCTTTTCCCCAAATTCCTGTTTTTCCCCAATTCCTGCTTTTCCCCAATTCCCATTTTTCCCAAATTCCCGTTTTTCCCAATTCCCGTTTTTTTCCCCAATTCCCATTTTTCCCAAATTCCCTTTTTCCCCAATTCCCGCTTTTCCCCCAATTCCCGCTTTTTTCCTGATTTCCCGTTTTCCCCAAATTCCCGCTTTTCCCCAAATTCCCATTTTTTCCCCAATTCCCATTCTTTCCCCAAATTCCCATTTTTTCCCCAATTCCCGATTTTCCCCAATTCCCATTTTTCCCCAATTCCCGTTTTTCCCCCAATTCCCGCTTTTCCCCAAATTCCCGTTTTCCCAAAATTCCCGATTTTCCCCAATTCCCGTTCTTTTCCCCAATTCCCGATTTTCCCCAATTCCCATTTTTCCCAAATTCCCATTTTTCCCCAATTCCCGATTTTCCCCAATTCCCATTTTCCCCAATTCCCGTTTTTTCCCCCAATTCCCGTTTTTTCCCAATTTCCCGGTTTCTCACCCGGATTTTCCGTTTCTCTCCCCAGCCCCTCCCCCACCCCGTTATTTATTGGCTGCCGACGGATCCTGAGAACGCCCCGCCCCCTCTCCAAGCCCCTCCCCCATCTCCCCAAACCCCTCCCCCACCTTTTTAAGCCCCTCCCCC